GCAGGGTCGGTGCAGCTTCCTGTGCCCTCAAACAGCAGTGGGGCAAGGTAGCACAGACAGCGTGGTCACGGTTTTCTCTCCTCTTCCTGGGGATAGCAGCTCCTGCTCTCCTGTGGAGCCCAAGGGATGCCCTTCCCAGGTTGCTCCTACCACGGAGATACTCAAGAGCAGGTGGTGCAAATAAGAAACACTTCAGTGAGGGATTGTTTTAAGACAAGACTTTCAAGCAAGCAGAACAAAAGAAAAAGAAGCGCCCAGCATCACAGTGTAGACGAGCCCTGCCCTCCCGCTTTCCTGCCTGGTGGCAGCCAGCACATCCATTTCACCCTGCGTGCTTGCTCCTGTTGATGGGAACCGCGGGTGGAGGGACGTGAAGGGAAGAGGTGGTGACAGGAAGACAGCAACAGCCACGTCGCTGTTATCTCCCCGAAGCCGGGAATGTGGCCCCGCGCCCGGGTGGCTCTCAGTGGACGCGGAGATGGATACATCCAACGTAGACATTGACAGGGCTGGCAGCCAAGTGCCAGCAGCTTAAATTAAAAATCGAGGTAGCAAACATCTGAAGTGCTTAGAAAGTAAATAAGTTCTGGAATGAAAGAGGAGGAAAGCCGAGCTAGCTGCTGTGGGGAGTAGGCTCTGACCCACTTTAAAGCTGTGCCTGCTGCCGGTCCTCCTCTGCCTGCCCGGTCTGGGCACAGCCGAGTAGGGAGGCAGGGGCTCCTCATGCTGCCAAGGGGCATTTGGGGTCAGGCCTTTCCTCCAGTAGCTGGACACACGCAGGGGTGAGAGGTTCTTCGGTGCCGCCAAGACCTCGACCTTCTCAGGTGGGAGGAAAGAGGAGAAAAGAGCAGGACCTTCCGGGGTGGGGCAGAAAGCCTCCCTTTAAAGTGCATTGCGTTTCTCCTCCTGCCACCAGCTGGGATGCGGGAGGAACCACAGTTCACATCACCAGGGGGATTTCCAAGCTGGGGCAGGTACGCCAATTGATTGTTTCAGGGGCAGAGAGAAGGAAGAGAGGATTCCTTTCCTGCTTGGCTCAGTCGAGGCCCAGCCTATAGGGAGGTATGTTCAAACAGCAGCGGGGGTGAGGAAGCTGCCCGGCAGCCCAGCCCCGCAGCAGGTGAGGGACAGCGCTCAGCAGGAGCCAGTGTGTCGATGGGGGAGGCAAGTCTGCTGTGGAGCTGGGACCTTGCTGCCACCAGCAGTGGCCAGGGACTGCAGAGATCTCCAGCAGGCAGCAGCAAAGCCAACCTCCCCCGTGCTGGCATAAGTGGGGAAATGCAGTGGGGGAAGAGACCGAGGTCTAAGAGAGTGGCATCTGATCTCCATCTCCTTCCCAAGAGGAGAGCAGCAGCCAGCCTGATGTGCTTTGAGACCCCTCAGCCTGCCCTATTTATCCTCCATCAACAAACCCATACATGGGAGTGTCACATCACGCCGGTGTCAAAGGGACATGCTGCAACACTGGCCATCTAACCTGCGAGCCCCAGGGACGTCAGGGTGCAGAGCAGGGCGTTACCGTGCCCTGGCTCTCCCTGGGCCGCATACCTGAGAAGCGGGGGATTCTCTCTGGTGAGAAGTGCAGGCCTGCTCTCCCTTTCACAGCTCAATCACAGCAGCTTGTTTGCAGTTCCAGTTATCCATCAAACGTCGGCTAGAGGCTACAAAAGGTATTTTAGTCTTCTGACTCAAGTGAGGATGTTTTTAAGCAGTCGTTGCAGAGTCACCCATCTCCTGCAAGGGCCTGCTCCATCCTGCCTGATCTCCAGGCGAGGGGAGAGTTACTGTCCCACCACACGCCTGGAGTCCTCCTCGGTGGGAACACAATGCAGCCTGGCCCGGCGAGACTGGGGGTGGTGGGGTAGGGCTCCCGCCCGCGGGCATCGATGTCTGGGACTCACACCTCGCAGATAATCACCGGAAAATCCACGTGAATGCGAGGATGCTCTAGCTTCACTATGCCCTGAAAGAAGAGTCAGAGTGGTGAGCAGAAGGGACAGCCAATCAACACCCCTGAGCCGTGCCAGTCACCCAGGGACAGAGAACACTGTGCCCTTGAGGAACCGGAGGGACCAGGGTCCATAAATCGCCTGTGACACCAGGTATGCCTGAGCAGCAGCATGCAAAGCACCAGCACTTTGCCCTTTGCACTCATCCCTGGAGAGCCGAGGGCAGCATGGCTGGCTGCCACACATGGCAGGGCGAGAAAGGAGGGAGCTGCTCTGCCAGGCACTACCCGTGCAGCAGCTGGTGCGTGACTGGCAGATATTGGCTGTCTGGGCTTTTCATCCGGCACCTTTCATTCACGGGATTTAGAAGAATGAAAAGAGCTCTCTGAGAGAATGCAGCCGGGGCAGCTGGCGCGCAAGAAAAGCGGCTTTCTGTGCAGAGGGGAGGCTGCTGAATGCACACTCCCTCCACACCAGTCACAGGAACCGTTCCCATGCCCCATCCAAGCCTTCTCCTGTTTCAGCACCAGGAGGAGCCGCCGGCAGGTGGGGGGCTGGGGCAGAGGGGGGAGCAGGGGTTCGGGGCTGGGCCTGCACCCACAGAACCAGAGTAAAGTCTGCACTAGCAAAGGACTGTTCAGTACTGGTACCTGCTCTCTCAGCTCAGATAAGCATTCCAGCTGGGTGAGTTTCAACCCGCATCAACGAGGAATCAGTTCCACAGGCCAAGCCTGCCTCTGCTAGAGTGCCAGCCCAGGAAGCAGCACCAAATCCTTCTGTCTGTAACTGCCTGCTCAGCACTCAGAGGGGTCCCATCCTGCTGAGAGGCTGCCCACTCCTCAGAGCACACTGACAGCTCACTCCAAGTGCTCACTACAGCCAAGCCTTTCTGCTTAATTAGGGACTCTCTCCAGACCTGGTTTGATCTGCCCTTTCCTCCATTTATGCCCCAAAAGATTCCCTACATGCAGCCTCTCCTGCCCCTGCACTATGATCCTCATTTGATATCCCGGCCCCTGCCCAGCTCCACACCACCTGCTTATTTAAAGAGGAGACTTTTCCACTGAAGAGCAAAGCACAGAGCTGTCAACACTGCTGAGCAGCTGGAGGGGATGTGCATACTCATGTCAGCAGTTGATGGGCTCTGGCTGCTGCTCCTCAACACAAGGCCTGGCCCTCCACAATGACATGACACTGGCTGAGGCAGCACAGCACCCTACACCTTGTGGAAGGTGCTTGGTAATCAGACACCGTGGCCATACAGGGCTGCCTGGCACTCTGTGCCCTACAACATACAGCCGGCTAAGCTATCTTCCCCTGCCTGGCAGCTCTGAAAGGCTCAGGCACTGATTCTCTCCAAAAAGGGCAGCTGGAAGGTGCCACCAGCTCTCCCTTTCCTGTCACAGCCTCAGGTGACACGGGCGTGAGCCAGGACACACTGCAATCATGGCTCAGAGGCAGAAACTGGGAGGAGGAGAGAGCCTCCACTTTTGTAGCAAGAAGATGCCCTGAGGGAGATGGCTCCCGTAAAGTCCGGACTTCAAGTGTCACCGTGGCACTTTGCACTCGCTTTCCCCCACCCTTGTCCGCACATTACCTGAGGTATCAGGTTCTTGTGGATCCTCTTCAGCTTGGCGCGTTTCCTCCCGTTCTTGGTGACGATTGTCTCCTCGTAGAACTCGTGAGCAAGATCCCCGTCCTCATCGTAGTACATGGAGCTGCCGAGAGCAGAGGGGAGGCGTTGGGGTGAGAACCGGGCTGGGGGCTGGGGCAGGCCGGTCCCCCCTCCCCTGGGGAACTGCAGCGACCACCCCCTGCCAGCTCGGCTTTGCCGGCGGCTCCTCCCGACCCCCGCGCCGCGCCTGTGCTGAGGCCGGCCCAGCAGCATTCCCCCCGCCCCATGGCAGCCGCCCCCCGCGCCCGCGTCTCACCCGCGCCGTGTGAACACGAAGGGGGTGGCGGCGCGCGCGGCCCGTGCCCGAGCCAGGGCCTGCTGCCCGCCGGGGCCCTCGGGGCCGCCGCCGCCCGCCGCCGGGGTGGCGAAAGGCCACAGCCCCCGGGACTTGGAGCCGCTAGCGCCCATGGCGGGCGGGGGCGGCGGCGGCGGGAGCGGGGCGGGGGGGGTTAATGGACGGGGGCGGCCCGGAGCCGCCCGGCGACACCGACCGAGCGCCGCCTGCGCCGCCGCCCGCGCCACTTCCGGCGCCCGCATCACGTGACACCGGCGCGGAGCCGCCCGCCTCCCCGCCGCCAGCGCGGGGACCGCGGGTTCGAGTCCCGCCACAACCCGCACCACTTGTGGGCACCCACGGCCCGCCGACATCCGCGGGACTTCTTTTTCCGTCCCTTCCCATCCCAGTCCGCCCCGCCAAAGACACACCGCAGGCCAGACCTCGTCACCAAGATGCCTTTATTGGTGTTTGATGCCCTGCTTCTCCCTAGGGACACTCACTTCTCCGGGGACACTCGCTCCCCCCATATCACCCACCCCCTGGGGTCACCCAATCCCCCAGGTGACACTTGCTCCCCCCAGGACACACGCTCTCTTGGAGACATCCACTCCCCTGGGGACACGCAATCCCCCAGCTGACACACGCTCTCTTGGGGACACCCACTCCCCTGGGGACATCCAATCCCCCCAGGTGACACTTGCTCCCCCCAGGACACACCCTCCCTTGGAGACACCCACTCCCCTGGGGATACGCAATCCCCCAGGTGACACATGCTCTCTTGGGGACACCCAATCCCCCAGGTGACACTTGCTCCCCCCAGCTGACACACGCTCTCTTGGGGACACCCACTCCCCTGGGGACACCCAATCCCCCAGGGTACAGTCGTTTCTCCCAGGACACACGCTCCCTGGGGACACCCACTCCCGGGTGACACTCACTCTCGCTCCCACAGGAACCCTCACTCTCTGGGGCAGCCCCTTAGGGGCTGTGACAGCCCAGTGGGTCCGTGGTGCCCCGTTCCACCCCCCTCCCTGGTGCCCCACCCGCCGGCGGGCGAGGCTCCTGCTGCTCTGGCTGGCCTCGGGTGCAAGCGTCGTGGTCACCCCGGGGTGCGCGTGGCCAGCGCCTCCTGCATCTTCTGGCGGCAGCGCGCGTAGCGGTGCCGCAGCCGCCGCACGTGCTCCTCCTCCTCCCGCTGCAGGATCAGCAGGAAGTTGTGCAGCTCCGGCAGCGTGAAGGCGTCCCACTGCAGGCACAAGGGCTGCCATCGCAAAGGGGACATGCAGTGTGCCCCCGCGGCCACCTCCCCCGGCAATGCGGGTGCCAGCCCCCTCCCTGTCCCTGCACTCACGTTCACCTCTCCGGTCTCGTTCTCCTTCAGGATGAAGCTCAGCACCTTCTCGCTAGGGCCGGCCAACAGCCGCAGCCGCAGGGGCTGCTCGTCATCACCCAGCTTCCGCAAATACACTGCAACGGCGGCCAGGTGTCACCGCGGAGATACTGCCACGGGGACACTGCCACTATGGGGACATTACTGCTGCTACGGGGATGCTGCTACTATGGGGACATCACCAGAGGGACACTACTGCTGCCATAGGGACACAGTCATGATGACAGGGGACACTCACTAAAGGGATGCCGCTACCAAGGGGATGCTGCTACCTAAGGAAAGCTGTCACTATTGGGACACCACTGCCGTGATATTGCCACCATAGGGGACACCGCCACTATGGGGACACCGCTGCCATGTGGATGCTGCCACCACGAGGGACCCTGGGGACATCATCACCGTGGAACTGCCACCACCCAGGGGAAACTAACAATATAGGGACACAGCCACCACTGTGAGGACAGGGTCACTACCTTGTTCATCCTTCTCAGACCTCTCGAAGAGGGCGAACTTGCGGGGGTTATCGATGACGGTGAACTTGCGGAGGAGGGCGTCGATGACCTCGCTGGCACGGGTGTGCGAGAGGATGTGCAGGTGCTTGACGGTCCCCTTGGGCAGGTAGAAGGACGTTCGGCGCTTCACCCCCTGGGGATGTGGCCGCCCCGCTTGGGGGACCCGCTTGGTGGCCGGAACCGAGACAGGACGAACCAGCTTCAGCTGCACCTTGATGAAGCCGGTGTAGGAGCCGTCCTTGTTCTACGAGACATGGGTGACGGGTGAGTGGGGTCAGGGCAGGGCACTGTGACCCCACCCGGCCCTGTGCCGACCCCGTACCAGGCTCATGAAGAGGTTGCTGTTGATCTGACTGTTGTACTCCTTGATCCGCTGCTCCACTTGCGCCTGGTCCAGCTCTGTCTTCTCCCACTCGCTGGGCTCATCCTGCGTGACAGCAGCCGGGCTGAGCGGCACTGAGACCGGGGGGGACCGTCCCGCCTGCCTCGGTGTCCCGCCAGCCCCCAGCCCACCCCGAAGCACCAGCAGATGCGCGGGCGGTTGCACGGGGTTGCATCAGCCCGGCTGGCGCTGAGCTGGGTTGTGCCGGGGACAGCTGAGCTCACTGCTCCAGCCCTGCTCCGGGGACACCGGCACCGGCCGCCCCCCAAGCGCCCATCCCTGGGGCTGCAGGGCTGTGTGAATGCACTGCGAGGACACCCGGAGCCGAGCGTCCCCTCCCGGCGCCCCAGATGAGAGAGGCGTCCCCAAGGCAGAGCGCCAGCAGCCGCCAGCCCGGCACCAGGGCGTCTGGGCTGGCTCTGCGCCCGCGGGGACGCCCTGAGATTTGAGGCAGGACAGCCGAGCTGGGGGTGCAGCCCGCCCTTGCCGCCGGCACGCCACTTCAAAGTGCTGGCCCAACACACGGGGGACCGAGCGTCCTGGCTCGGCGTCCCTGCCACCGGCACCCACTAATGAGTATTTACACGGGCCGCGGAGCTGCCACGCAGCGCTGCACGTGTCCCCACGGCATTGAGGGGTTCCCAGCCCCGACAGCCTCCCCACAGCCTGCAGGCACTGCCGGAACCTGCGGGGGTCCCTGCAGGATGGGGACAGCTGTGAAGCTGCCCGGAGAGCTTGTCCCGCCACCCCAAAAGCTGGGAACAGATCCAAGGCTGAGGGACCTTGGAGTGCCCGTGACAGGCACAGAAACCCCACTCGCCCCACGAATGTGGGCTCACCCCACATTCAACCAGACAGGGCCACCGTGTCCCACGGCACGGCCATGCTTGACCCCACTCTTGCCCCACAGCAGGGCCAGGTCTTTTCTCCAAGAAAAACCACCCACACCTCTAGTTTTCCCCACGCACCAAGACCACCCTCGCCTGCTCCCCAGCACCCAGTCCGGGGAAAATGTATCCCGATGACGTCACCCGTGAACCCCATGACGTCACGACCCGGGACCGACCTGGCGGCGGCGCGGGCGGCGGCCGAGGGAGGTGCGGGCGGTGTAGAAGAGCTCAGGCTCGGAGTCGGAATCCTCCTGGCTGCAGTATCCGCTGCTGGCCGTGCTGCCCCCCGTGCCCCCCGCGCCACCCCGCCGCAACGCCAGCGCCGCCGCCCCGCAGCCCCCGGCCCCGCCGGCTCCCGCCCCGGCCACGGCCACGGGCACGGCAGCGGTGGCGGAGGGCACGGCCCGGCCCGCCCGCCCTGCAGCCCCGCCGGGCCGGCGGGCACATGGGCACGCCCGGCCCCGCGCCAGCCCGGCCGGCCCCCGGGCCGGGGCCCGGCTCGGTCCGCTCCCGGCTCGGCTCAGCCCGCTACCGGTCCTTGGCCCGGCTCCGCTCAATCCGGCCCTTGGCCCGGCTCGGCTCCGCTCGGTCCTGGTCCCTATCGCGGCTCGGCTCTGCCCGATCCCTCTCTCAGTCCCGACTCGGCTCCGCCCGGTCCTGGTCTCAGTCTCGGCTCAGCTTCTCTCGGTCCCTATCGCCGTTCCGCTCGGCTCAGCCCGGTCCCTATCGCAATCGCGGTCCCGGTCCCGGCTCGGCTCAGCCCAGTCCCTATCGCGCTCCCGTCCCGGCTCAGTTCGGCGCGGCGTCTACCGTGCCCTGCCCCGTTCCCGGCTCAGCGCGGTCCCCGTCCCTGCCCCGCCCCGGCCGTGGGGTGACGCGGGCCGGGGGCGGCGCGGCGGCCCCGCTTCCGGCGGTGACTTCACCCGCGCCCGCCCGGACACGGCTTTGCCCCGGCTGAGCTCGGCTCTGCTCGGTTCGGCTCGGCACGGGCACAACACAGCACAGCTCGCCAGGGCACAGCACAGCCTGGCTTGGCACAGCACATGGCACGACATGGCACGACCTCATTCAGCCCAGCCCAGCCCAGTCCATCAAGGCTTGACACAGCCCATCATGGCATGCCAGTCTGGCATGTCAACTTCACATAGCTCAGCTCAGCTAGGCCCAGCCGAACAAGGCTTGGCACAGCTTGGCATGGCACAGTCTGGCATGCCACGACATGGCCTCACGTGTCACAGCCCAGCATAGCTCCCCCAGCCCAGCATAGCTCCCCCAGCCCAGCATAGCCCCAGGTTTGCCACCCCTGCCCAAGCTCTCTCTTACAGACAGGCCCAGGCCATACCACGTTGGTGTCCTTCTCCAGCACCTGCTCGTTGCCATCGTCCTCATCACCAGCCCCTGGGGGGCCACTGCAGTCCAGCCGTACCAGGGCTCGACACCGGTAGTGGCAGGTGAAGCTGCAGTCTGGGGACAGAGATAGGAGCAGTGTCACCATTGTGCACAGTGTGCTTGTCAGGGTCAGGGCACTGGTGCGTGGTGGAACAAAGGCTGGCACGTGGTGACCGTGTCGGCTGTCTGCTCTTGCTGTGCCTAGGGGCTCAGGGGTAGCACCAACATGGGACATAGCACTGTGCCACATCCTGGCTGGTGCTGCTGTGTCTGTACTCCCTGCTGGGCTGGCAGTACCCACCAGTGTGGGTGTCCAGTACTGGGATGCCCAGTGGCCAGTGCGGGTACCCAGTGCTGGAATACCTGGTACTTGGTGCAGCTACCCAATATGGGATGTGCGGTGAGGGGTGAGGGTATTCTGTATGTGGCTGCCCAGTACCTGATGTAGGTGCCCAATACAGGGGTGTCCGGCGTTTGGAGGCAGTTCCTGGTGCCCAGAGGCCCAGTGCCTGGAGCAGCTGCCCAGAATGGTGATGCCCAACTTAATGGAAGTGCCTGGCACCAGGGCGCCTGGTGGGGGTAATCAGTATTGTGATGCCTGTACCCAGCCCAGTGCTGGGATGTTCGGTGCCTGGTGGAGGTGCCTGGTGCTGGGATGGTGGGACAGCGGGTGCTCAGTGAGGGGGCCCACTACCAGGATGGTCGTGGGCCCGTAGGGGTGCCCGATGGCAGGATGCTTTATACCCACTGGTAGTGGGGGTGCACGGCGGCAGCATGCCTGATGCTGGGAAACCTACGCCCAGCTGTGGGACACCCGATGCTCCGCGGGTTTGCCTACTACCAAGATGCTCGGTGTCCTGTAGGGGTGCCCGGTGGGAATGCCCAGTTGTGAGGGTGCCCGGTGGCGGGGATGCCCGGTGGCGGGATATCCGGTGCTCGCCGGGGGTGCCCAGTGCTGAGGAAGCCGAGTGGCGGGACGCCCGGTGCCTGGAGGGGGTGCTAGGTGCCGGGATGCCCGGCGGCGGGGGTGCGGACGGGGGTGCGGGGGCCCGGGGCGCGGTGGGGTACTCACGGCGGCACTGGAGGCTCTTTCTGCCGCCGCCCCAGACGAAGTCCCCGCAGAGATCGCACCAGGTGTGCAGCCCGCGGCGCCGCGGCTCGAAGCTGTGCCCGGCGCCCGGTGCCGCCGTCAGCCGCGGGTCAGGATGCGCCCCGGGGCCGGGCCGGCGGGCCGGGCTGATGCGCAGCGCGTTGGCTCTTTCCAGGCGGCCCCGGCCCGGCCGCGGCTCCGGCTGCAGCTCCCGCAGCTCGATGAGCTCCATAGCCCGGCGGCCGCGGGCGCTGCTCGGCGGCGGGGCGGGGGCCGGCATCGGGCCGGGGCCGGGGCGGGGACCGGGAGGGGCCGCCCCGATGGGGGACCGCGGGGAAACTGAGGCAGGAGAGGTGGGGGGAACGGAGCAATGCCCCAGGCTCCCGATCGCCAACTCCAGACCGGGCGAGCCCGGCGGGGCGGGCTGGAGGCGGGGATGAGGTTCTCGGAGCCGCGCGGGGGAAGGGGGGGCCCGCTGCAGCCGCCCCTCTCTCTCTGCCTCTTCTTGCAGGAGCAGGACAAACTGCCCTCCCTGCCCTGCCTCACTTCCCCAGTGGCGAAGGGGCTGGAGGCACCCCTGGCAGAGGGTGAAAAGCAGATGGAGAGCTACGGAGAGTGTTTCTGCTCCTGCTGGCTGCAGCCCGGGTTTGGGGAGAGTTTATTGAGCTCCAAGCACGGGCTGCTCAGCCGGAGCTGCAGCTGGACCGAGATGGTTTCCTGCCTGCTGTCGTGGCTCCTGCAGCAGCAGCCCTGGTGCAAAATCTATTTTTATGTGTCAGGGATTCTCTGGCACCCTATCAGAAAGACGACATGGCCAACCTTTCCCAGCTGTGCTCAGACTAAGGCTCCAGCCCTTTGGCAGCAGCTGCTGGCCAGTGAGAGGTGGGGATGCACCCCAAAGCATCCCCACCAGTAAACCCTGTTTACTGGTAATGCTGGTGGGCAGGGGGCCAAGCCCGGGGTGCTAACTTCACATTAAGGGAGAGGAAATGGTGTGAATCGTCCCTGCAAGGTGGGAGATGACAAATACCCAAGAAACTCTTTCTCACAGCAAAATGCTCATGCAAACCACATCCTCCCCTCCCCACGCTGCTCTAACAATGGTACTAGGCAGCACAGAGGCCTTGTCACTCCCTTCCCTCTCCAGCTGCAGTAAGGTAACCACAGCTTTATAGGTTTTTCGGGTTCTCTGGGATTTCTGTTGTTGCAGAGGGGAAAAGAGACACATGCCTCTTACTGTGTGGAAGGGGAAAGGAGGAAGCAGTTTGTTATCTTCAGCTAGGAGAGAAAAAGCAGAAACCAAGCAGCTGTGGGATGTACAAGGAAGTTTATTGGAGAAGGCAGCATGGTGGGATGGTGGGAGTGGAGAGGCTGATCCTGGCTAGTGCTGCCTGGGGAGGGGAGCAGGCAGAAGGGGCGTTTGCCAGCTTCTTTCCAGCTGTGGGCTGCACACTGGGGGAATCTCTGCTTCTCTGAGCTACAGGCCAGAGGCCAGATGCCAGATACCACTTCACTTACAGGTCATCCACACTCCTCGACACCTCGGCCATCAGGTTGCAGGCAGGCTTGTGCTTCTGCCAGTGCTGGACCTGGCATGCCCTGCAGAGGGGGAAGCTGCTGTCAGGGGCAGTGGAGCCACATCTATCCCTAGGGCAACGCAGCAAGAAGGACAAATTCCCCTTGTAGTGCTTGTGGGAGCACCACACTCCTCTGGGATCTGGGAGAGACCTGATACAGCCCAGCATTAGACCAAGAGGGGGTGGATGCAGCCCCAGTCCTGGGGGTTAAGAAGGTTTAACACCAGACCTTGCCAGATGGTTCAGGACCAGAGATTTAATTTACTGCCACCATCCCAGCTGCCACATCCCAGCCCGTCACCTACACCCACAGGGTCACGGGTGCTTTCCTACTCCTGCCCACCAAGGTGGAGAAGAGGGAGACAGTGTCACCACGGAAAACCCAACCCGTCACTGTGGGCAGAGGCAGCTCAGCACCTCGCAGCTGCTACACAGCCCTCACCAGCACCTCCTCCACCAGCAGCCCAGCATGTCAGCCTACCCACAAGAATTGGAGAGGCACATGGCCAGAGCAGTAGTGGGACCCCTGGCTTTCCCTGGCCCTCCCACAGCATTCTCCAGTGAGATCTGTGATGCTCTGGGGAGCACTGAGGGGCTGCAGGGGCCCCAGGGGGGTGGCAGGGCTCCCTTACCGTGTGCAGTACCATTCGTTCCGGCAGCGAGAGCAGCGCTTGGCTGCTTCTACACCACACACCCTGCAGCGGGGCTTGTCAGGGGCCAGAGCCTCCATCATGTCCAGGCTGTAGGTCTGTGCCCACCTGTGCAGGCAGAGAGGGGTGAGGCTGCTTACAGGGAACTGCTGACTGGCAGTGAGATGTCCCTTTTGCACCCTGCCACTGAAGGGACATCTCCAGCCAGTGCCACAGACCCCTCTGTCCTCACAGTGTGGAGCTCCAGCCCTGCCAGTGAGGATGCTGGCCCCACTGGGCACTCTACATACCCGTACTAGGGCCTCACCTACGTGCCTGGAGCTTCAGCTCCTCCTCAGTGAGGCTGAAGGCATGCTTCACCTGGTGCTTGGCAATGGCCTCCCACTTCCCTGAGTTTTTCTTGAGGATATGGTCCCGGATGACAGGAACCTGGTGGGAGGAAGAGGAAGGAGGAAGAGTGCTAACAGCCTAAAAATGTACTGTGGTCTGGGAAGAAGACAGCCAGCCCTGGGCACAAGAAGTATGGCCCTCCTGGAGGGCAAGCAGAGGCAGAGGCGCAGAGGGTGTCAGGGTGTGCTTTTGGGTACATGGAGGGGAAGGATCCACTCCCCGGTGGAAACAAGGCAAAACCTTTGGGATCCAGTTGGGAATGAGTGTTCAGCCTTGAGGCCTGGGCTGCTGGGCTGCTGAAAAGAAAGCTCTGGGACCTCAGCACCCGGCGTGTGGCAGCGGGTGAACCCCGTGCTCCAGAGCCGTTTGTCTGAGCAGATTTTTCCGCTCGTCACTTCCCTGAAGATGAACACCCGGGGAAGGGCTGGCCAGCGCAAAAGGAACCATCCCAGCCAAGAGCAGTGCACTGAGTTCAGGCTCTGGAGTGGATGATGCTGCTTCAAACAGCACTGCCTTCTCCAGCAGAGTAAAAATAGCCAAGGAAGGGGAGGAGGTTGCTCGGGGAGCAGCCAAATGGAAAACGGCCTTTCCTTAGCTTGGCTCAGCAACAAGGAATGAGTTCACTACTCTCTGGGCAGAGCAGGGAGCCCATGTCTGTGCTTCCTGCTGGCTCCCCATGCCTGCCCCTGGGCTCAGCCCTAGCCCTTGGCAGGGGCAGGAGCAGCACCAGCACAAAAGCAGAGCTATGGAGATGGGCAGCAATTTGGGTGAGGGCTGGAGGAGGTCCCCAGCGTGGCAGCTGCTTGTCACTGTGCCACCAACACACTGGCAGCCAAGGCACGTGGTGTGAATCCATGTCCACCTCTGCCCTGCTGCCATCCCCAGCCCTAACAGCTCAGCTTGCCACTCTGCAGCTTCCTCAGCTCCAGCTCCCAGCCTGAGCCATGCTTCCAGCTCAGTCACCACCACCTCTGACAGGGCACATCATCCTCTTCCCAGGCCATACAGCCAGCTGCGATGGGGACAGCATGCTCCTACTGGGGACAGCCCAGATGGCCACTGCTAAACATACCTATCTCCTCCAGGAAGCGGTGTGGGAGACTCTGGCAGCAGGGAAGAGGCTCTGTGCTCCCAGTTCTTTTCAGCAGCCTCTTTGCAGATTTGCCCCCATATTCAGTTTCTCCTCTCAGCTCACAAGAAGGCAGTAGAAACACACAAAAACACTTTTCTCCAGAGATTACCACTGCATGTATTAAAACCCCCAGGAACCTCTTGGCTGTTTAAAAACTTTCATGGCCTAACTCCCAAAGGCCCAGACACCAGCTGAGACCAGTTTAACTCCACACTCTCACCAGATCATGATGTCCCTCTGTACACAGTGTGCCAAGCAGCCTCAGACCAGGGCTGTAAAAGGGGACTTCCCTGGAGAGTCCAGAATTCAACAGGAAAACACTGATGTGTCAAATGAAGAGTTAATTGTCAAAACAAGCCAGTGTCTGTATCTTCCCCATCCAGCTGCCATCCCAGGGGCTCAGTGTGACCTGGAGAGCTGTTTATAACCCAGCATTTATGCCTTTAGATGTGATTGCTTGGCCATTACATGGCAGGACAAGGCTCTCACGTCAGCCACAGGCAGCTTTGCTGGCAATAAGGGTGTAACTGAAATGGGTTCTTGGCTGCTCTTCCAGGGCATCATCACTCCAGAGCTAAGCTTGGTGGAAGAAAAAAGGGATAGAGAGCTATCAGGCTTAAACCAGAGTGGCTGTAGAGGTGAAGGAAAAGCCACAGGATACCTGCTCCAGGATGAGATCCTTTTTGGGGGGAGCAGGCTCTGTCACTGCAAGGTAACTCAGAAATCTCTGCATCTCCACCAGGTTGGGCAGCTGGTCAATGAGGACATCTGTCAGGAACGCACGGAGCTGTGGCCATGGAGGGGAGAGAAGAGTGAATGGACAGAGGTCACGACAAAGGAGTCAGAGCTGGGGATGCAGCAGGGCAAGAGCAGAGATTTGAGGGGCAGTGGCAGGGAGACCAAGGAGGGTCTCACGAGGTGCACTCACAAATAAGCTTTGCTGCTGCTGCTTCAGTGACAGACTTGCTGTTCTCCCACCTCTGGCTCCTGGGAGCCCATAGTGAGGATGGGGACAGACATCTGGAGGTGCCCAGTGCTGGCAAGGGCCCAGGGCCCTTGTGCTGCAGGGTCCTACCTTGAGGAGCTGGCTCTTGTTGAAGCCATCGAAGCGGTATTTGTGCTGGCACTCGGGACTGAGCAGGAGGTTGAGGAGGGCAAGCCACACCTGCCCGTCCAGTTTGGTCATCTTCACCTGGTCCTCAGGGGGCACCACGTGCCATGTGCCATTCTCAAACTTCTTGAGTTTGCCTGAGGGACAGAAGAACCAGGGAGACACAATGCTGCCTGGGGGAAGACATCTCAGAGCGGGGATGCTGGCCTATGCTCACTGCCTCACTTCACCCTCTGCTTCTGCCTGCCTGTTTCCCCATCTCTTGCTCCACATAGCAGCCTACTTGGTACTGAGGCAAAATATTATACAGCATGAAAAGCAGAAAGGACATGTATTAAACCAATAGTGCTGTGGTAGGAACAGAAAGATCCCTGAGACATCTCCCTCTGTACTTGGCCAGGAGTGTAGAGCATCAGTGGGCAGCCCATGCTGCAACAACAGAGTGGCTGGAGAGACCCATTTTGGGGTATCAGCATGGCCACTCTTCTCAAGTTTCCTCTGCCAGTCAAAGCCAGAAGCAGCATAAATATAACAGATATGACAAAACAAGCTCCAACAGCTACTGTGTGGCTCTAGGGGATGGAGCAGGATGTGACCCTGCATCTGCACAGCCTGGAAATGCCTTTGTGCTTGTCTCTTTCCAGTCCCTCCTTCAGAGCCCTGGATCAAAGCTCCTTCTCACACTCTGAATACACAGGCAGGGATAAGGGATGTGTTTCGTGGCTGCAGGAAGGAGGAAAGCTCCCGCAGGCAGCGGGCTGCTCTCGGCAGGCACAGCCACGTGCTTCCCAGAGCTCTTCCTGCCCTGCCCTGCCCCCGCTGCGAGCGCCGTGCAGGGCCGGGGCAGCGCGGGTTCCCACGGCCCAGGCTGTGCCCCACCGCAGGGCAGGCAGCGGGAGGCTGTGGGAGCCCTGCCTACCTGCAGAGGTGGGGTATGATGGCCAATAGCCACAGCCTAACCAGGGGCCTTTGGCAAGAGTGAAGATGAGGGACCAGCAGCAGAATCAGGGCAATGTTTGCTGCCTGGGAGAGAACACGCCTGGCTCTAGTGACAGCTGTCCCAAAAGGTGCAGAGAAACTGGGACGGGCACTCTGGTTTTTCTGTGTCCAGAAGACTCCTCAGAGGAGCACGTGGGGCTGGCAGAGGTGCTACACTCCAGTGCTGGCTGTGATCACTCAGAAGAGGCCCAGCCCTGTGTGAAGATCAGCTTTTGGGAGCATTGCTGGGTCCCCAGCCCAGCTGTGCTGCAGCTGGTCTCGAGCTGAATAGCTTCAGGCAGGGAGCACTGAGGAGCTGGAGGGGAGGGTAGGGGGGAACAGCTCTGCAAGGGCTCCTACAGCAGATCCCTCAGTGGATGCACATCCCAGAACAGCACCACAGTGCCCCAGAGACCATGGGGCATGATCCATACCTGCTTCCCAACAGCTCCAGGGACAATGCTCCACTAGCTCGACAAGGAGGCAGGGCAGGTTGTGGGTGTTCAGCATCCGTGTCAGTGCACTCAGGGGCAGACTGGAGATATGACAGAAAGGGAGAAAAGGCACTCACAGATTGATGCCAGAATTTGTATCTACAAATGTTCCCTGAGGCAACTGGGAGAGGCAGGAAAGAAACAATGATCGGAGTTCCCAGGGGTACCATGGAGCAGGGTGGAGTGCTGCTGTGTTTGCCTCCCAGGGCACAGTGCCACTGCCACTGTAGACACAGCCAGCTGCTGAAAGGGGTCTAGGCACCCACTGTGACCCCAGAGGAATCCCATCCAGAGAGCTGGCCATGTCCTCTGCTGCTTCTGGGCACCTACCTGTCCACCTGGTCAGTGATGAACCGCAGCACGGACAGGGCCTTCAGGGAGATCTCAAACTCCATCATCTCTGCCTGCTTCTGCAGCTCCTGTGGAGGGACAGGATCAACCTTGGGATTTCAGGCCCCATTTTCCAGGAGCTACAGGGAGGCAGGTTGTTGACTGCATTGGTAACCACAGTCTGGATAGGAAAACAGAGCCCTGAAAAACAGTGCCTTGTCTCAACTGTGCCAGCACTGCCTGTTTGCCAGCACAGTCACAGAAGTGCTTGCAGCCCACAGCTGCTCCTCCCTCGTGTCCCTGTCCCTAACAGATCGTGGGTGGCTACTAGCTGCAGTGGTCCTGCACAAGAACACCCCCTGAAAGAGGCTGGTCCCAAATTTTGCTTCTCGTTCTTTCTGGGACCATTTTGTGGCCCATGGCCCTGTGAAGTCCTGTGAGGGTTGAAGGAAGGGGGAGCTGCATGATCAGCAGAGGAAGCAGAGGAGGAGGAAGGAGAAACTTGGCCCTGGTGCAGCTGCAGTCCTGTGTCCACCCCTCCTAGATTTGTCTCTTCCCTCCAGATTAGGAACAGCCAACTAGGATATCTGCCTGTGGTTATCCCAGCCCACAGCTGTGCCAGGCTGTCCAGCCACCCAGCCTCCTTCCCTTCACAGACAGCACGGACATCTCACTCATCCCCCATGACAGCCTGACCACCCTCTGGCTCAGGCAGAGCTTCTCTCCAGTCCCAGATGCAGCTCACACTTGGTGTGCAGAGCACTGACCTCAGCCTGTTATATTTCTCCAAAGAGCCACTGCCAACAGTTGCCTTCCAGATTTCTGTGGTAAGCAGTTCTGTGCTCCCTGTGCTGGTGCCCCACAAGTTACTAAGAGAGTCTTGTAGGCTCTTCCCCGCCTCCTCCCTCTCCAAACTGCCCTAGTGAGGTATCCAGACCTCATCTCTGCTGCCTTGAGACAGGGACTATCTTTTGCCTGTGCTTCGAGGGGACAACAGAACAGGGGTTACCACCATACACAGTCCCAAAGGACAACGAACAACACAGGCTCCACAACACAGGAGATGGCAGGAACAGCTTTTTCACAGGGGTTATTGTACACAGAGTCAAGAGAGGCTGGAATGAATCAGAGGAAACCAGGCTCCCTGGGACATGAGTGCTTTTGAGAATCTATTGGCTAGAAAAGGTCTGGGTTTTTAAGTTCGTGTCAAAGCAGTAACAGAGACAGCCCCTTCCCCTCCCCAGCTGGGAAAACATTTCCTGGAAAACATCCCTATTGTGCTCCAGATCCCTCCACTTCCTTCCCTTTTCTGAAAGAGAAGTATGTGCTTGGGCGACAAGCCAAAGGATGATGGCAAGGGAGGTTCAGGCTTTCCCTTTAACCCTGCTCTTCCAGATACACCTCCTGATGTGCAGTTCCAGGTGCTGAGAAGGACCAGAGGCAAAGACAGCTCCTGCTCTGGGAAGGTGTGTGTGTGGCAGTCTGGGAACACCTGACTGGGAAAGTTCTGGGATCACTGCTGGCCTGGAGCAGCTCAGAGAAGGTATTTCTCAGAGAATAAAGGAAGATGGGGGAAACACATGAGGACAATTCCTTATTGTTAGGAGAACTCTCTCATGGTTAACTCTGGCTGGCTATAATGGCAGCCTGACCCAGGGTGGTTTCCCAAATTTCAGGGAGAGATATCCACACAGCTTCCAAGAGCAACAGCAAATGGCCAAACCCCTCTACTGAATATTTCACCCATCAACTCTCCACCATGTCCCACCCTAGAGCTCTGAGCATGTCCTGCAGGAAGCCTCAGGCTGGCACTGGCACTGGACAGAGCAGAGGCCAGACTGCAGAGTGGAGTGGGGTGGATGCAGCCACAGGCATAGAGAAGCACCAGACACCCTCTGAGGTGGGCAGGAGGTGCCAGGGTTGCAACCTACAAAAAGGCCTCCCTGTGCCTCTACAGGCTGCCCACATTCTTCACCACACATGTCCCCAGGGAACTACAGGACTTTCTCCTCACCTGCATGGATGAGGGGCTGGCCAGATGCTCAGCACGAAGCTCTGCTGAGGTCACTGCTTGTGCCTTGGTGCTCCGAGCTGCCAGCAGGGTCAGCTTGCGATGGCAATAATCAATCAAATCCAGAATGCTGTCCTCTGCTGACTCGCAGATCTCCTTCACAACGACCAGGGTTTCACACAGGGTCAGTCCCCACAGTCTTCCACCCCCAGGGCCTTTCCACTTGAGGAAAGCTGAACTGATCTCTCACCTTGTAAAAGAACACTGTTTCCAGGAGGTTGATGATGGAGGCTTCATGGTGCAGCTGTGGGAGGAGAATGGCAAGAGTGAGGTAACAGTGGAGCAGCACCAGGGATATGGCCACTGGGACAGGGAAAAGGGCTCTTCTGAGAAGCTGCTTATGCAGTTGTGGCCAAAAACCAGTCCAAGAGAAAAATACAAGTGATGCAACCTTCAAAACAACTCTAGTTCATATTAATATTTATGCTGACATGCCTGTGACACTCCAACATGCCAATGGAGAGCCACACTTCCCAGCAGGCAAGGCTCTTCAGGGCTCTGCCTGTGCTGCAGGGGCAGGACAACCACTGCTCTTGGGCAAGCTGCAGGCTCTGGCACCAGCACAGAGGCAGTGCCTGAGCTGGGACAGTGCTCTGCATGGCTGTGCTTCTCCCAGGCCCTGGGACTGGGGCAGACAGTCTTGCCCGAGACTGGGAACTATGGGACACCTGCCCTGAGGCAATTGGCTGCTCAAGGAAGACACCACCTTACAAGGTGTTACCCTGGACTGAAAAAGGGTTAAAACTTCCAAGCCTCAGGCAGATTTTCCTTAGGTCAAGGGCTGCATCCCTCTGCAAGGAAGCCCACATCTGGAGATCATTCCTTTGCCAAGAATGGCCCAAGGGACCATTGGTCCCAGGAGCTCAGTAAAAAAAAAGCTACATTTTTGTTAGCCCATAGGCACGTAACCCTAGAGTCTCTGGCTGGAGAAAAACAGTGCTCAGAGCAGGGAAAATACCACAAGGGTATCAGTGCCTGGGAGCAGGGGCAGTGCTGGGAGCCATAAGCCAGGAGCACAGCTGTCTCCAGGAATGCTTTTGTTCTACCCAGCAGCTCCCTGTGTGGAATTAGAGAGGGGACAGCTCTCCACAAAGCCAAGCCTCCCTGGGAGTGAGTCCCTGTCCCTCCTAGAGGCAAAGGCACGGGCTTGCACAGGCTTTGGGAAACCAGGCACTTCCCACTGTGTCCGACTGCCCACCTCAGCCTGGTGAGATGCAAAACCTCAGCTCTGAGACTTTCAGAAGGACATTTATTTTCAAGCACAGCTGTGCCTGACCCCTTTGCAGGCTCATTGCCACCACCCCCTCTACTCACCACCACATAGATGGGGAAGGTGCTCCTCGGCTTGAAGTCCTGCAGCCGGCACAGCACGGGAAAGATCTTGTGCTTCCAGATCTCCACAGAGATCAGCTCCCCAATGAGAACAGGAATCTAGACAGGGAAGGGATGGGGAAGTGAAGCCTTTCAGATCACTGGTGCAGAGGGAACCAGTTTGTTGCTAATGGTCAGCCACTGGAGTTGCCCAGGGAGGAGGATGGCCTTGGGGCACACTGTATTCTTCCAGCTCAGAAATGAGCAGCTTCTCACAACAGGACAGAGCTCCTGGGGCTGCAGAGTGGGAAGGTGACCCCAAGGAGCTGGCAGGTCCAGGCAATCTCACACTCTGGGGACACCTCAGGCATAGAGCAGAGATCTGCAGCCAGAGGGGCTGGTGCATGAAGCAGAACAAAACAACTTCCAAGACAGAAACCAGACGCCAGCAAGTAGAAATACCATAGCTTGACCTTTAATTTTTTAAAAAACAAAACTGGCACACCACCAGTCAAACGTCTTTTCCAGAGACACGACATATTCTTCAGCATTTTATTCCCGAATTGCACACTGTCCACAGGACAGGCCCAGCTGGAGGCTGAAGGCCCAGCGTGGGGATCACTCCTGCACACAGGGAGGCTCACCTTGGCATGGGTGACCAGCAGCTCGGTAAGGAGCTGCTCCTGGCCCGCTGAGGCGCTCAGGATGCCGTGCATGTTGAGCTTCTCCACGTACTCGTGCTGCCGAAGCCATCTGTGGGGCAGCCAGCGAGGACATCAGTGCCACAGACCCCTGGTCACTGGGTCGGTGAGGGTTCCTTGTGCAGGGAAACCTGCTCCTGTAACCCCCGACGCCGCTGTGCTCTGAGCCTGGGGCTGCAGCTCCACTGGGACAGCCCTGCCTGCAACGCCCTCACTGGGGACACCACAGAACCAGGGAGCGCCTCTCCATCACCCCCACCTACACAGACCCTTAGATCTGGGAGCCTTTCCCACCCCCTTCACCCCGGGCCCTCCAATCTCTCCAGTCCTTCCAGGAATGCTCCAGAATTGCAGCCCTTTCTCTCACCCCACCCCACCCTGACCCTCTTGGGTCACCTCAAAACCAAGACTCCTCTCTACCCAAAACCTCCTCGGAACCCCTCCTTACCCCCACTGTGATCCCTGGGAAGGCCCCAGAATTGGGATCCCTCCTGTCCTCCCACAGCCCCAAAGAAGACCCCTCAAATTTTAAGTCCCTCTTTCATGTTCTCCCCCCACAGACACCCCATCACCGTGTCCCCGCACCCCTGACCGCCGATGTCCCGCAGCTCGGAGCCCTGCAGGGCCCGCACCAGCGCCTCAGCCTCGGCGGGCGGCAGCGGCCCGGGCACGGCGGCCATGGCGTCCACGTCGCTGTGGCAACGGCGTCGCCACTGCCGCCCCCTGGCGGCGCGGAGGACTCGCTGCGGGCCGGCTGCAGCAGCGGCGAGGGGCGGCCTGTGGTGCCCCCTGGCGGCGCGGAGGAGTGGCCGCAGCCAGCGGGGCGCTCCGAGGACACGTGGAAGGGACAACGGGGATACAGGGGACGCGTGGGGAGACACAGCTCTAGAAAGGGCTATCACTGGGTCACTTCCAGCACACGATGATGTTGGGGTCATTCTCCAGGCGCTCATCCAGCTCCTTGTAACTCATGCCTGGGGAGTAAGACAGTGCGGTGTTACTAGGGTGTCAGTGTGGTGCCTGGCAGCAGTGTCCAAGGGCTGGGTGTGGTCCTCGAGCCCCGGCCCCGGCAGCATGGGCTTGGCAGCCTCGATTGGAGAAGAGCCTGGCCCGCAGTCTTGGATCCCAAAGGGGCAAGAACCCAGGAGCAGTGCCCAGCTGTAGGCAGGCAGACATTCCCGTGTCTCCCACCAGCCCTGGGGCCCACACGGAGCAGGGGGTCCTAGATCCATACCAGTCTTGCAGCAGATCTCGTCGTAGCTGTGGCAGCCCGTGTACAGCCGGGCTGGGTGGCTCCGCTCATCCCGGGCCACCTTGACGGGGTATTTCTGCAGCCGCCGGATAAGGCCCTTCATCAAACCAAACTGGATAAGCCTCCTGGGGATGAGGAAGGAAGAGACTGGGAACACAGTGCTGAGGTGCCAAATGCCCTAGCTCCCCCTATTCCCTTCTGTTCCACATGTCCCACCACTGCCTCATGTTTCCTACCCTACAGACACAGGGGTTGAGTACTTCCTGCTCACTCTCTCTGCCATCCCAAGTGTCACCACTACCCTCGGGGACCAATCAGGAGGGCTCTGACCTCTCATCCACCCTCTGGAGCTGCAAGGTGTAGCGGCAGATGAGGTCTCGCACGGTGGTGCCAGGGCTCAGCCCGCAGTACAGCTGGAAGACATCCCTGAGGCTGGCTCGCTTGTGACCTGCAAGGACAAGTCACCATTCAGATGCCCTGTCCCCTGCCTGGGCCAGCATACCCAGGCAGGGTCACTGTACCTTGTTTGGTGATGTAGGACAGACACTCTTCCTGGAGACACTTGTCATCCACCAGGTCCTGGACCTTCGGTGTGGTACAGTAGACATTGGAGTACTGGAGGGTGATAGAAAACCAACTCTCTCAGCTGTGCTCTGAGAGACGCCCAGCCACTCCCACCCTGCCCAAATCCCACTCACAGCCCCACGCTCCATGACCTGACCTACCTGAAGTATGGAGACAAGTGTGACAACCCCGTAGTACCTGCAAATGGACAGAAAAAGGTGAGAGGCACTCTCTGGCAGCACCCACCCCCCTCCTCGGGCTGTGCAGCCCCCCCAGGCACTCACAGCAGGTTCTGCACAGCAATGCGCACCAAGTTCAGCTCCACATCGGCTTCTGCTGAAATCTTCTGGACGTGTCGAAATCCATCAATGTAGGGCAGGATCTGGGAGGGGAGGAGGCAAGAGTTAAAAGGGCAGAGAGCAGTGAGGCAACACTCTGAAGCCCAAGCAGCTCCCCTGGATCTGGGAACACTTAGGATAGGCAGGCTCCATCTCCAGGTGCACTTTAACCTTGTGCTAGTGAATTATTTGCTCAAAGGCCCAAGCATAAAGACAAGAGCAGCACCAAACCATGCTCGTTAATGTGGTGATCTCCAGGACAGCCCAACTCCCCCAGTGCTGTGGAAGCAGATCCCCTTCAGTGTCAAGCACACAGACCTGCTGCGTGGTGAGATCCCACTGGGAGTTGAAGAAGTCATCTTTGTCCTGGGTGAAGACAGGGACATCGTACTCTTGCACAATGGGGGGGTCTGGGCGCTGCTCAATCACCTTAAGGTGGATGGTGTTTGACTCATCTGCCCGGGAAAAGGGGAAGGCTCAATTTCCATGGAAGCCAGTGCTTCTTCAGGAGCAGCCATCAATCCCGGGACACCACAATGTTGCACAGAACAAGTGCTTGCAGCCCATAACACTATCCCACCCATCTCTTGGAGCCAGGTAGGGCTCCAGACTGGGTCAGACACCCCCAGCTCCAAGCACAGGCAGGCAGGGAGCTGCTAGGAGCAGCACAAGCAGAGCCAGCCTGGGCAGGGAATGGCCCAGGTGTCTCCCAGCACTGCCCTGTCCTTGCCATACCTATGGGCAGGGTGCACTTCCCTTTGGCATTCAGCTCCTCCAGCAGGATGGTCATGATGGGAACCAGCTTCTGTTTACTCTCTTCGTTGGAGATGAATCCACTTTCCAGCTGAAGTGAGAAAAAAGTCAAGTCAGCTCCTCCCCACATGATTACTGGCTACAGGAGCCCAGATCCTGTTCTCCTATAAAAATGAAGTGATCTGTAGGAAACCAGCCCAATCCCCTCATCACTGTAAAACCAGCAACACCCAGTGGCCCCCATCCTCCAGGATGCTACTGAGGTGGCCAGGCTCTGTGGGGTGGATCAGGAGGCAGCCTGGCCATGCCCAGGCCTCACCTCGAGGGTGGTGAGGTAACCAGCCAGCTTCTTCACGATGGGCTCCAGCGCACAGGCCTTGGCTCTGGCATCGCACACAAAGCCCAGGTTGAAGAGCAGAGCATTCCGGCTGTACTTCTTGTGCTCGATGCACACGGGGCAGCCAATCAGCTTCTTCTCCATGGCTGTCCTGTGGGGAGACACCTGTGACCTGCACCTGCGCCCTCAGGGAGGCTCGATCCCACAAGGATCGTTCCCAACCGGCTCTGGAGGTAGGGGCTTCTTTACATTGCAGGAAAAATGACGCCTAAGCCCTACGTGCTTAGAGTGCAAATCACAGTCTGAAGAAGGGGGAGGAGAGTGAGCCCTCAGAAAAGAAAATGGTCTCTTTTTGAAACCAGCACAGCTCTCTTGACTGGTCTGACTTTCATGGATTTAAGGCTGGCGGAACAGCAGGTGCAACACCAGCCATCCCCAAAATGTGACCACCCACCCTCTGCACGGGTACCTGGGGGCTACGGCAGTGACCCTGCCAGCCACGGGCCAAGAGCCCAGCGCGCTGGCACTGTCACAGCACCGAGCTGTGCTCCGAGCCCAGCGGGTCCCCGTGGCAGGGACAGGGCCCTGCCAGCACTCACACGGTGATCAGCTTGTTCTGCAGCTCGGGCTTCGTGATGACGTAAACCTGGATAGTGTCAAACAGCTCCCGGGAGATGAAGTCCTCGGGGACCTGCGGCGGCACAGGAGGCTCCGTTCCAGCCGAGCCCCGTCCCTCTCCGGTGAGCACCACACCCGTCCCTGCGCCCCCTTCCCTTCCATGGGTGCTGCCACGGCCCAGTCCCAGCCCCCCCGCCTCGGCCAGGAGCTGCGGGCCCCGGGCCGCTCGCCCCGCACCTGGTAGGTGATTTTGGGCCCCAGCGTGGGGTGGAACTCGCTGAAGAACACGCACTCGATGCGGCCTCCCATGGCAGGACGCGGAGCGGCCCAAGCACGGGCTCCAGCCGTGGCCACAGCCCCGCCGGCCACCGTAGCGCCGCTCCCGCGGAACAACACGGCCGCGCGCGGGGGCGGGCGCTCACATTGAACGACAGCACATCTCGCCACTCAGCGGCGGCGCGCCGCGGTGGGGGCGGGCCTTAGTGCTGATGGACAGCCCCCCTCAGCCAATCGGAGCCCGCACCGCGGCCCGGCCATGTCGGCGGCGGCGGTTCCGCCCGCCCGGGCAACATGGCCCTGACGGCCGAAACCGAGTCCCGCCTGTACCGCTCTCTGCGCGTGGCCTCCGGCGCCGCCGCGCACCTCGTGGCGCTGGGGTTCCCCGCCGCCGTGGCCGTGCTGGCGCGGCCCGGATCCAGTGAGTGCCGATGGCGCCGGGGGCGCGGGGAGGGCCGGATGTCTCACCTCACCTCACCCTGTGCTTCCCTTCCAGGTCTCTTCTCCTGGCACCCGCTGCTCATGGCCCTCGCGGTAAGTGCCGCCGCCCCGGTCACCGCGCCGCTGCCGTGGGACAGGCAGGGGCCGTGCCGGCGGAGCCCCTGGGTGGTGGGTGCCCAGCCCCGATAGCCCCCGGGTAGTGGGAGGCTGAGACCCCGGGCGGTGGGTGCCCAGCCCCGGTAGCCCCCGGGCGGTGGGTGCCGAGCCCCGGTATCCCCGGGCGGTGGGTGCCCAGTCCCGGGAGCCGCGGCGCAGGGGCGTTTGGCCGGTGCCAATCCCGCTGCCCTCTGCCCCCTAGTTCTCGTTCCTGATGACGGAAGCGCTGCTGATCTTCTCCCCGGAGACCTCGCTGCTGCGCTCCTTCTCCCGCAAAATCCGAGTGCGGGCGCACTGGGCCCTGCAGCTGCTCGCCCTGCTCTGCGCTCTCCTGGGGCTGGGAATCATTACCTACAACAAGCACCTGAACGGCAAGGGCCACTTTGTCACCTGGCACGGGCTGACGGGGCTGCTGGCCGTGCTGTATGCCGGCGGGCAGTGCGCCGGGGG